AACTTGGTCGACGTATCTTTCGTTGGTGGTGAGGGTAGGAGTTTGATTGTCAGTGGTTCTAGTTCTTGTCCTTCCTCCTTTTTGTTTTTTCATATGGAGGGAGAAAATTGGAAGCAAGGTTTGGAAGTAATTTTGGGTGGGCTTGCGCAGTAGGGGAACGGTGACTTCTGGTACGAGGACTGAAGGCCTGAGTGGCGGTCTCTCGTCTGTAGTGAGGGATTGACTTGGATTGGTGGTGGTATTAGCTCTGATTTTCGTTTCTCCAATTCTTTTTAAATCTTTTGAATTTTCTCGAATTTCTCAAATTTGAGGTGAGTGGGATGAGTAGATGGTGGGATATCAAGCGTCCTATTAGTCAGGAGGGCTAGCTAGTAGGATGGAATTAGGGTACAGCAGCAGCGGAGATGGTGGCTCTGCTGCAGTAAGTCTTGCCGGAGGGAGGTAAAGAGGGTTGATGGCTTGTAGTTCGATGTAGTAAGCTTCTTCAGTAGTTCTAATTTTTCCTAGCCATAGCCGGGTAATGGCCCCGGTATCTTAAAATTTCAAAAAAAAAAGAAAAAAAAAAGAAAAAACTTCACTCACGCAGTACACGCAGGAAAACACCAAACAGAAAAACAAATGACCGACTGAGCAACTGCAGACCCCTCTTTCATCTGGTCACCTAGACCAACTACTACTCTGTAGACCCTTCTTCCACCCTGTCAGAACCGAAACCCATTCGAACCCAGGGCGGCATTTCAAAAGCTTATGGGGTGTACCAGCTGAGTTGGTGACTCCCCTTCCCCCTTCTGCCGAAGCGCAGGTACAAACGCCAAGAACAAAGAAAAAGGAAAAGACGGCATTTGAACTACTGAGCTGAACCAATCAGATCGGTGAGGAGCGCCCTTCATTATCCAAACCCGCAACGTGATAGGCTCCCGGAGTGCCAGCTGCAGGCACTTCTCATTTCACATCTCGGACCGAGGCGCTACTCCCTTCATCAAGTTGGGAAAAAGCGCTGTGACAGTCCTCAAAGCATACTCACTGAAGGACTCCGCTGGATGCATCTGGCCGCAAATATGGCTCTCCCAACATGCATCTGAGCGCAATGAAGTCCAGAGCTAAGTCGAAAAACTGTTCGTCTGAACATTGTGGGGACCCCAGGGCTTGAGAAATGCAGACAGAAGAGAGAAACTTAACCAGTCTCTGTGGCTCAAATGATATCACATTGACTTGTAAGTGGTTACAGGTCAGGAGTTCAACACCCTACGGGGAGTATGAAAAAAGCTGAGTACTTCACTGGACACACCCTTCTTGGTGTTTTTTTTTTTTTTTTTTTTTTTTTTTTTTTTTTTTTTTTCTTTTTCTTTTTCTTTTTCTTTTTCTTTTTCTTTTTCTTTTTTTTTTTTTTTTTTTTTTTTTTTTTTTTTTTTTCCTTCTTGGTTTTATGAAATGATGATGAGTGGTGTCTCACATCCCTTCCGTATGTGAGAGGCGGGCCTCCCAAGACTTGTTTTGTTTTTAATTTTATTTATTTATCCCCAAGATTTGTCACGAACAGTCGGCCGCCAAAGCCTATCTGACCCGAAAAAAGAAAGAGAATAAAAAAAGAAAAAAGAAAAACAAAAGAAAAAAGCTGAGTGCTTTACTGGACAGTGTACACATTTGGCGAGTAGTGCAACTACCGTCTTCCCCCGAACACAACGCACCCTCATTTTGGCTGCACCGGACAGGAAAGATGGCTTGTATGCAGTTGTTATGAGGGTGCGTTGTGTTCGGGGCAACACGGTAGGCCATGAAACCGGAGGTAGGGCCTCGCCACACCACAGGCAGCGAAAGGGGGGGACATACCCGGGGCTAGGTCCCACTTGCACGAATTAAGAGATAGAGACCGTAGATAGCCGAGAGAGATCAACGGCCGAAATCTCCTAATCCGTGCAAGTGGAACCTTGCCCCCGAGTGGGTGTAGAGGTGTTGCAGGAGCAGTACACCCTCAAGCAGCCTACAGTAGTGGTAGATCGACTGCCTCTGCCCGCACAACCCCCTGCGTGTCGCCCGGTGGCCTTTGGGGTGTCGTCTGCCGGGACACGTGATTGTAGCAATCAGGTCAGCACCTTAGTTTTCTCTCCTGTTGCCACGTGTCAATCGTACGGTAGGTGAGGTGGTCGATCAGGTTCCGAGGAGTCAATCCTTCCTTCCAGCTATCCAATCAATACATTAATCTATAAGATCGACTGATTGATAATTAATAATTAATCAGCGAGCAGCGAGTGAGCAGCAGCAGGGTCACAGTCGGCCTTCCGCTCATCACTCCTCGACTGCTCAGTTAGACTGAGGCTACAGGAGTGACGACGAAGGAGAGAGACCGACGCGTAAGCATGGCGATGGCGTCAGCGTCGGCGGCAGTTTCCCAGTCCTCATGTCGAGCTCAGGCCCTGGGATTACACGTGTGCGGCACATCGACGACGCCCAGTGATGGAAAGAGAGGAATCCGGTCCCATATCCAGTGGCCGCCGGGCATGGGGGCGGAGAAAGGCGCCGCCGCCGCCGCCGGCTGCCGCTTCCTCGGCGCATCGTCATCTTCTTCGTCTAAAGCCACTCCACATGCTTCAAACTGCCCGTCGTCCTCTTGTCCCTCGTCTTCTCTTAAGCAGCAGCACCATCATGTCCGTGCGCATCCCCCCTGTCATGAGCAGCAAAGGGGTGCGTTTTTGGGGCACTGTGCGCCGCTGAGAACGTCGTCCCGATCCCCGGGAAGAGGGGGAGCAGGGGGAGCGGGGCGAGGTTGTCGCGTATTCACTCGACATGTCCGCTCCGCGGTGGTGCTGGCTATGGCGGTCTCCGCCGCGTCATCTCCATCGACTGAAGAGCTCCCGTCTCTCTCCTCTCTCCCTTTGACGCCTTTTATCAGTGAGGGGGGAGAAGTCGCGCCGCCGCCGCAGGACGCCTCCACCAAAGCCAGCGTTTTTGCCGTCTACGACGCGGGCAAAAAGGCGCAGTACGTCGGGTTTTCCAAAGACGCGCGCAACTCCCTGAGGACCTTGCTCTGCCGACGCCCCGAGCTTTGCTACTTCTACCAGGTCTTCAACCTCCCTTCTCTCGATCAAACGCAGATGCTGGCCATTCGCTCCCACTGGTTCTCGGAAATTGGCAATCCGCCGCCGGGGAACGAGCAAGCGGGGGAGAGGGCGAAGTGGGAGAAGCCGTTCGATGCGGGGTCCGAGCCGGCGGCGAAGGATCGAGTCCGGCAAGTGATGAAGGTGCTGGCCGAGAGAGGGTTGAGGGAGAAGATGGACTTCAACCCCTCTCTCCTACAGGAGGGGAAGTGTGACGTCATCGCGTCCGCCGAGTCTACTGCAGCTTCCGCGGAGCCGGCGGCGGGGGTCGCCGATTCCAGACGCAGACACGTCTCCATCGCTGGTCCTAACGGTGATGTCGTGGAGTTTGATGTGTTTTATCAGCGAAAGTTCCCCACCAACGGAGGATGGATGTACGATCTGCAAATTACGGCCAACGGATTGGAAACCACTCATAGGGTAATCATCGGCAAAGTGTACCCCGAATCGGTAGGTATATCAGAGGACGACTTCTTGGAGAGGACATTCGCATTCTTACTGGCCAAGAAGCTGCCACGTAGGACGGAGGGAATGCTGACGTCAGACCAGTTCCCCGTCAACTACTTCAGCGTGTCCGAAGTGGAACAATGGTACGACGACTTCAAGCTTATGTTCCGCGATGGAGAATCCCTCCTTCCCGGTGAGGCGGGGTATTGGCGATTTAATCGGGTACACAAATACGGCCCTAGTGAGGACAGCATGCCGCTCGTGGGCCCGGAGAATTGAGTTGTGTATGTCAATCAACGATGCATTATTAATGGGGGGAGGGGGAGGGAGAGACAGGCTGGATGGATTGATGTATGGAACGGATACACTTAACCGTACTAGATGGAGATGGAGAGATGCCGCGGCTGCTCCTAGGGTATTACCTACTAGTACCCCTCCCAGTCAACCTCAGGCCGCCCTATTCAGGAACCCTACGCCGCCCAGCTCCTGCAATCTCTGTTCCCTCTCATCATCTCCCTCGCCTTCTCTCTTCGCCGTACTACTCTCTCCTTATGCTACTCCATTACCTTGCCCTAATTTGTGTCCCTCCCTCCTTGCCCGCCTCTCTCTTTCTCTCTTTCTCTCTTTCTCTCTTTCTCTCTGTCTGTCTGTCTGTCTGTCTGTCTGTATGCGTGTCTCTCCCTCCCCCTCCCCTCCTTTAGTGTTGCGTAACTGTCCGTTTGGCTGCCTGCTTGCCGTGGTGCAGAGGCATGACTGTGAGCACTCTCCCTTCATAATGATTACCGATATTACCGAGCTTTGTCTCCTCGCGCCCTTTGCCTGTAGGTCCCATGCTACTACCCTCCGGGCGCGGTATTCTCTTTTCCTTCTCCCATTTTCCCTCCCTCCGTCCAGTCTCTGTCCTCGTGCCCGTCCTTGGGTTCGACTCTAGTCGTTCCTTTTACGGCGGCGTYTTTTTTTTTTTTTTTTTTTTTTTTTTTGGTGGAAGAGCTTCTCAACACCCTCCTCCYGCCCMCCTTATCTACTCCCTTTTCCCTGCTTTGTTCTCGTCTCGCAGACCTTTGCGATCTGTGTGGGACGGTACTTTGTCCAGGCAAAGGTGTTAGCTTCTTCAAGCCAGTATGAGGGAAGAAGATGCAATATCGAGAGGGCGGAATTGCGGCGTACCAACGCCATCCCCTTCATACCTCGCTCGCGTGGTCCTTCCATCCCTCCACCCTCCCCGTTCCTCCCTCCCCTCCTCCCTCCCCTCCTCCCTCCCTCCCTGCCTGACATTTCCAGACGGACAAAGTTTTGCTGAAAGCAAGCGTATTTGATCCCAGGCCTCCGACTGCAGTTCTTCCATCACCGATGAACTTGTTGCTGTTTCCCCCCCCAGGATCTGTATTGTAATCTCAAGGACTCAGTTTACTTTCCGGGCGCCGGTGTTGTCACTCCCTCCATCTCTCTCTCTCTCTCTCTCTCTCTCTCTCTCTCTCTCTCTCGCTGTCAGTACATACGCACCCACTTATACACGGGGGAGAGAAGGTGGTGTCTCTCTGTCTGACATTTACTCACAATAAAAGCCACACACACACACACACACACACACACACACACACACACACACACACACAGAGAGAGAGAGAGAGAGAGAGAGAGAGAGTTTTGTGAGACAAATCTTCATGCATGGCTATAGAGTGTGCGTGGATGAAGGATTATATGTTTGTATTGCTTTCATCATTGCCAGTCAATCACAGGGGCTTGCGGAGGGAAGCACTGTTGGAGGTGGAATTCCAATTACAGTATTTCCAATCTTGTCGGTGATTGCCACTCGGCTTGTTTTATGAACTCCAGAAAAAAAAGGAAAGATTCTGAACCGTACTTGTCATAAACTATACGATCTGATGATCTCGTGTCTCATGGAGCCTTGCTCCAATTGGCGACATCCTAAATGCATCTGGAGCTGGAAATGGTCTCGACACATTCAAAATGTTTGATGGATCGAATGTATCTGGTCCAGATAGGTAGGTATAGAATTTTGAATAGTTGCAACCGGACTCTATTTACCCGGCCAGGCCCTGTAGCCTGTGGTGGACAAGACTGTCGGCCTGATCTCACAGGCCATGTGTGTTCATTCAGTCCGTCCCTGGCACTACCATCGTCACGTCATCCGAATAGAATGCCGCCGGTCATTATAGCCGTATTTGGAGTAACTTTCCGTCTAGATACAGCGATAAAGAGCGGGCTTTTTTTTTTCTATTCAGGTGAAGACCATAGTCCAGTCAGTTGAACACAAGCGGTCTTCGAGATTCACACCAGATGTACTGCAGTTTTTTTAAATCCACCCGAGGGTGGGTAGCCTAAACCGTATGCGTTCATATAGTCCGTAGACTATTCCCGTCCTTATCGAGGGAGATGCTTACTGCAAATTTCAATGGTGAAGAAAGAATCAAGAAACAGACTGCAAAAAAAAAAAAAAAAAAAAAAAAAAGGAAAAAAAAAAGAAGAAACAGAGTGCAGGCTGGGGTATACCCCGAGCAAACTGACTGGACTGACTCGACTGGTGCCCACGGCCGTACTGGACTGAACGAACACACGGGGATCAGGCCGACGATGGAGACAGCACAGCACCCCTGAAGATTCACCCAAGATGTACTCCAAAACTGAAGAATGAGAATGAATCAAGACAAGAAACAGACTGCAGAGAATAGAGGGAAATCGAAAGGGCTATTCTCGAAAAAAAAAAAAAAAAAAAAAAAAGAAGAAGAAGAAGAAACAGACAGCAGGCTGGGGTATACCCCTAGTGACCGAACTGGACTGACTGGACTGGTGCGCGCGGCCATACCAGGCCATACCGGAGTGAACGAACGCAACGAACACACCGAGATCAGGCCGACGACGGAGACAGCACCGCTAAAGATTAACACCGGTGTACTCCAAAACTCAAGTGAAGAATGAATCAAGGAACAGGGGTGCTGTCTCTGTCGTCGGCCTGATCTCCGTGCACCAGATGTACTCCAAAACTCAGAATGAATCAAGGAACAGGGGTGTTGTCTCTGTCGTCGGCCTGGCCTGATCTCTGTGTGTTCCTTCAGTCCGGTATGGCCGCCTGGGCACCTGTCCTGTCAGTCCAGTCAGTCCGCTTGGGGTATACCCCATCCTGCAGTCCTTTTGTTGATTCATTCTTCACTCTTGAGTTTTGGAGTACATTTGGTGTGTCACTCAGTCTTCCCTGGTGCTGTCTCCATCTCCATCTCTATCTCTATCTCCATCTCCATCTCCATCTCCATCTTCTTCCTCCTTCCTTTCTCCACAGTAAGGGATCTGCCACCCACCCAGGCAGTTCGTGTTGCTTTTTTTTTTTTTTTTTTACCCAAAAAGTAGCCCCTTCTATTCTGGGGGGCATCAGTCCCGTTGCTCATCACCGGCAAGCCTGGAAAACAAAATACAGTTTGGTTTAAAAGAGAAGAGGAAAGCCTTGCCCTTGCGGCCCTAGACGCCTCTCAAGGGGCGAATTGCTACAACCAAAACCCACTTCCCATACCATCGCCTCCCCAGGTATACCTCTGTTGGTCGGGAAGCTTCCTAGCAGCACCCAGCCACACAACAGATGGGTCCCCAGGGAAGGCCTGCAGGCAGTTCCTGTTCCAATTCGTTCTTTTTTTTTTTTTTTTTTTTTTTTTTTTTTTAATTAGCCAGAGCAGACACTGCTAGCACCACAGGGGGAGGGGGCTCCATCTATTGGTGGCGAGCAGCACCTGCTGGAAATCGGGTCCAGCGTCCCTGAAATTTCATTTTAATTGTTCATGTGACCAATCATGCAGTTGTGACAACAGCAAGTTAGCAAGCTACCAAGCTGCTGGGCTTGGAGCCAGGCCCACGAAAGAATTTGGAAGACTACAGCCCATCTCTCTCCTCACTCTTCCTCCTCCGCTTCCTCCCTCACCTTCCTCCTGACTGAGAGTGTAGGTTACCCCGGTCTTTGTCTCCTGCTCTCCGTTTGTCTGTCTCTGTGCTGGTCGGTCTGTCATCCATATACATGCTTGTATACACTTGTGTCTCCTGCTCTCCGTTTGTCAGTCTCTGTGCTGGTCTGTCTGTCATCCATATATAATATTATATATGCTTGTATACACTATGCACATTTGGTGCACGTGTACGACCAATGTAAAAGAAAAACAATATATCTGTATTCTTTTAAAAATATAATGCATTTCATTGAATAAGTATATGATTTTATTTGTCTAATTCTGATTTTTATTTCTATAGACTATAGTATGATTATAATTGTTCAATAGTAGCACCTGAAAACAACCGATCCCTTCTTACGCCATATGACATTGTACTGATATTAAATTAAATGTTACTTTGGGAGACATGGTTCAATCCCGGAGTCTAATAATCAGTTAATGGATGGCAACTTTGATGGGGCCTAGGAGGCTAGGAGTGGGTCAGCGGAATGATTGGAGCTTAAGTGGGTGTGTGGACGGACGGATATGTTATGAACTGTAATATTCCGTCTTT